TTCTTCTATATTCTAAAGAATATAGGCCCAAATTGGTCAGCCTATCCTCGTAACTCATCCCTTTCATCCCTGGCACTAGCCTAGTAAATCTACGCTGCACCCCCTCCAAGGCAAGTACATCCTTCCTTAAATAAGGAGACCAAAACTGCACACAGTATTCCAGGTGGGGTCTCATCAGGGCCCTATAAAGTTGCAGCAAGACTTCCCTACTCTTATACTCTAATCCTTTCATAATGAATGCTAACATACCGTTCGCCTTCCTAATTGTTTGCTGTACCTGCAGACTAACTTTCTGTGATTGGTGTACAAGGACACCCAAGTCCCTCTGGACGCTAACACATTCCAATCTCTCCCCTTCTAAAAAATAACCCGCTCTACTGTTTTTGCTACCCAGGTGGATGACTTTGCACTTCCCTACATCATACTTCATCTGCCACCTACCTGCCCAATCACCTATCTATGTCGCGCTGCATTTTTTTAATGTCGTCCTCTGTGTTGACATTTCCTCCTAATTTTGTGTCATCCGCGAATTTAGATATATTAACCTCGATGTCCTCATCTAGATCGTTGATGTAGATGGTAAATAGCTGAGACCCAAGGACTGGTCCTTGTGGCACTCCACTAGTCACATCCCGCCAATCTGAAAAGGACCCGTTTATCCCTACTCTTTGTTTCCTACCTGTTAACCATTCCTGAATCCATGTTAATATGCTCCCCCCAATTCCATGGGCCCCTATCTTTTGGATTAACATTTTATGCGGCACCTTATCGAATGCCTCCTGGAAGTCCAATAGACCACATCCACTGATTCACCCTTATCTAATTTACTCGAAATATCCTCAAAAAATTCTATGAGATTTGTCAAACATGACTTCCCTTTCGTAAAGCCATGTTGACTTGACCTAATTATATCATGCTCCCCTAAATACCGCACTACCACATCCTTAATCAATTCACTTTACAGTATATTCTGTGAAGCGCTTTGGGACATCTAGAAGACGAGAAAAGCGCTATATCAAATGCAAGGATTATTATTATTAATCATTAATAATAATCTCACTCCCCTCGGTCCCACCCCAACTCTGGTGCCCATCCAGCACTTTTAAGTGCCTTGGGAAGCCCTCCCAACATGAGAGACATTATATAAATGTAAATTTGTATTGTATTGAATTTGTTGTAATGCCTATAATGTCAAACATCTCAAAAGCACAAAAATATGAAAGTGTGAAACAATGAGTTCATGTAATTGCAATGCCGAGCAATGCAATTGCTGAATAAATCCTAACTTTTTGAGGATATTTTTGAGCCAATATGTGCTCAGTAATTAAAGCTGAAAAGACGATGTAGCCTTTCTTCATTTCGACATGATCATTAATGTTTATTAAAAAAAGTGAATAATAAAATTGACGTGCATTATTCCTTGCATTTATTTGGAAAGTATTTTTAACTTGCTGAGAACAGCTGGTTTACAACAAAGCTCTGTCAGAATAATCAAGGCAGACATGATTGGTACTTGGTTAAATGAAACCTAACTGATTCAATAAAATATTACCAATAGAAATGGATGAGGGCCCTGAGCATTTTTGTGATTTTAGAACAGGATGAAAGCTACCATAAGTGACAAACTAGTTCTGATTGCAGGCATATTTCAGCCACATGTAACCCTTTTGAATACCGATGAGGTTGTTTGGTATCAGTGGGCAGTGAGTTACAGAAGCTGGCAGTAAAGGCAAAGGTTGACTTTCCATAATTGTTTAGGGGGAAAAAGGAATAAAGGCCAAGATAAACAAAATGAGCTTGTTTTCAAGGCAATACTAGTTTTTGGAACAACTTCTAATTTAAATCTAGGGTGGAATTAAAATCGACTTTAATTTACTCTAATTTAAATCAACTTATTTCTGAATGATCTTGTTTAAACTTCTAGCAATTCATGTTTTGTTTTAAATTGATTAAGTTGCCTGTGGAAAATACTTCAGTTGTTGGGTAAATTTCTTTAATTGCGGTGCCATAATATAAGAAAATATTTGAACTGCATGGAGTAATGACTAAAGGGGATACAAACACATGGCAAACACATTGCAGATGAATTTCAATGTGGAGAAATGCGAAGTAATGCATTTTGGTAGATAGAATGAGGGGAGGCAATATAGGCTGGTAATACAATAAGGGGGGGTGAAAGAACAGAGAGACCTGGGGGTTCAGGTAGATGAATCTTTGAAGGTGTCAGCTGTAAAGCTGTAAAAAGGGCATATGGGATACTAGGCTTTATAAATAGGGCCATAAGGTTCAAGAGTCAGGAGGTTATGATTAACCTGTATAAAACACTGGTTAGGCCTCAGTTAGACTACTGCGCCCAGTTCTGGGCACCACACTATAGGAAGGATGTTAAGGCATTGGAAAGGGTGCAGAGGAGATTTACGAGGATGGTACCAGGAATGAGGGACATTGATTATGAGGAAAGGCTAGTGAGGCTGGGATTATTCTCATTGGAGCAGAGAAGGTTACGATGAGACCTAATAGAGGTCTTCAAAATCATGAGGGGATTTGATAGGTTAGAAAGGGAAAAACTGTTTCCACTGGTGGGTGTGTTGGTAACTCGAGGTCACAGATTTAAAATAGTATCTAAAAGAAGCAGAGGGGAGGTGAGATTAAATTTTTTCACGAAGCGAGTTGTTCGAATCTGGAACGCATTGCCTGAAAGGGTGGTGGAGGCCGATTCGATAGCTACTTTTAAAAACGTGGTGAACGGGTATTGAGGATGATGGGTTTGCAGGGTTATGGGGAAAGGGCTGGGGAGTGGGATTGACATTACATTGCTCTTTTCAAAGAGTCGGCACAGACTCGATGGGCCGAATGGCCTCTTTTTGTGCTGTATGATTCTATGAAATAAACCAAAAATGCTTTTTATTAAGTGACATTGTTCATTTTAATTCCTGAGGCTAGTTTATTGTTAGCAGTACTAAAACCTGTTAATAGTAGTACTAAGACGTGTTAATTTTCCAATACAACAAATCCATGATTGAGGAATTTGTAGAGATAATGTAAACTGAATGGTTGTTTCTAGGACATGTATATACAATTTTAAATGGGTTATTGTAAACTATAAAGAATATTTCTTGATATATTTATATTATTGTTTCAGTTGTACTGGCTCAAAATAAGTAAATGGCCAAAATGAGAGTGAGAGAAAAAGACTGAGGAACTGAAGATGAGAAGTAATGTATCAACTACCAATGATTTGTGGAAGATCAGCTTAAATTAAATTAAAGATATTTAGTGAGAAGAAATTCCTCAGGTGGCTAATGTTAGCTAGTAGGTTGTGGTACAAAAACATATGCAATTTTAGTAATTGTCCTAATGACAAATTCATTTTTGTACTGATATTCAACCTCTGTAAAAACAACACAAAAAAATTCATGGCAAATTTCCAAAGGCCTGTCCATTTGCCTTGTTAAGGAGGCGATTAAAAAAAGGTGGATCTGAGAAGCCATATGGTTGAGAATTTTACTAAGAATTCATAAAATAGGAAAAGAAGTGTTGAGACAGTTTTGAGTTATCTTTTGCTCCTGTTAAATTAGCTTTTTTGTACATTTTATAAAGAGGATTGCTGAACTATAATTGACCGTTTAGGTAGCGCTATTTTAGGCAATAGATACAGACAAGCTGAATCTGAATTATTGGTTTTGTTTGACAGAGATTTTCTTATTAAATAAAATCTTTGTACCATGGAATCTGCTTTAGACAAATGCCGGGTAAGTTGAACAAATCGCCCGGCCCAGATTCATTTGTATTCTTACTGTTTTAAATACCTGTTTTTAATCACCTCAGCTCTGACACTAATGGACCCTATCCTGTCCCATGGGAATGGCAATGGGAGGGAGGAAGCACCAACACCTCTCCTCTGCTCGGACACCTCTTAAACCAGGCACCCCCAGTATCCGGTTTAACAGGCTTCCACTGTAATAATAATGATCCTTGCATTTGATACAGCGCTTTTCACGTCTTCTAGACATCTCAAAGATCTTCACAGGATATACTGTAAAGTGAATTGACTGTATATGGACGAAACGCAGCAGCCAATTGCGCACAGCAGTGTCCCACAAGCAGTCATGGATGTGGTAATTATTATTTTTTTAGGCATTATTATTATCCCCGGAAAAGCGATCCACCACCACCGACAACAAAATTACATTTATAGAGCGCCTTTCACGTCGGGAGGACGTCCCAAAGTGCTGATCGACTAACAACCGGGTTCCTACTTCCAGGCGTGTGGAGTAAGGAAACTTGCCCAACATTTTGCCCTGCCGGGAATAGAACCCAGGTCTCTCGCTTGCGAGGTGATGCTCTAACCACTGAGCTACAGGACTCCACTACTTCAAAAACCGCCTTTCATTTTGGGAAGACCTTTCAAAATGCTTAACAGGATTTATTGTCAAGTGTAGTGACTGTTTTGTAGGTGAATGTGGTAGCTAATTTACTCAGCCATGAAGTGAATGACCAATTTTATCTGGGGGATTGGTGACTAATACGCTGGGAGAAACTCCCTTTACTATACCAAGAAATACTCCCTTCACCTCACAGCAGGCTACTTAATCAGATTCATGCTATTAATCAGATTCATGCTTTTCAGAAGATGAGGAATTTGTCATCCTTAGACTTAATTTATAGACCAAATGTGAGGATGAATCAATTACCATCATTACCAAAGGGACAGGAATTGGACCAGAGTTTTTTTTGCACTACTGTATTTATCAATTTAATCTCATCAGATTAAGAAGGTTGTGTGTCTTTATTTTGCTATCCTTGTTTTGGAATTAATGCTAAAAGAAAATGATTTACACTGACTACAAAATATTTTAATAGAATATTATGAAGACTGGCAGTTACATTTTCTAATTTCTTTTAATTACATTCAACATAATTTAAAATAATGGAATGCAGGATTTTGATTTTTTTCAGCAAAAATAACAAAAAAGGGAATTTCCAAAGAATGAAAGGGGGTGGACAGCTTTCCTACATAATTTTTTTAAAAAAGAAAGGACTGCCGTTTCCATTCAAATCACACTGATCAGATGGGATTTCCTAAGGATTTTAGTTTCTTCTCAGAAGAGTTCTTTCCATGTGAAGAAAGGCTGACGATGAAAACGTGGTGACACAGTATGTTAGAATTATAACATCCTTCACTGCATAGTGGTAGGATGCTGGACCCCAATGATTCCCTGCATGGTGAGTCTCCAATCTTAACTGTGGGAGAATTGCACAGAATCCACAGGGATCAAGGAAATGTACCCAAGTACAACTCAAGTCTCATGTATCTCACACTGGGTCAGAAGCAGTTTTTGTGTTCAACCTGACCTTTCAGCTGGGGAAGCTGCATAGCATAGAAAGATTTAAAGGTGGAAATGGAAGGGGGGAATAAAAACTGTCGAATGTGTTCAAATCTAATACTGAAACCATATTATTTTAGTAATACATTTTCATTGTCAAAATTTGAAAGGGGGATTGTATTCAATGTTGCTAATAATCTTTTATTCTTTGAACTGTTACTATGTTGTATGATCTTTCAAATTGCTGTGCTTATTGTAATTAGGTCTGTAACTTTATTGTTGAATTGTTTAATGTGATGTTTTGAATAACTACTCTATGTAGAAGTTATCATTTATCTTTTTGAGATCCAAGTGACCTGGAGTGATATATCTGTAACCCTATGTTATTCCTCAAAATGTGGCTAGAAATATTTTTTGGAATATTACATATGGACATTTAGTGAAACTATTTAGGCATGCACTTCTGTGTAACTCAATATATACCTTAATTCTGATCAATTTTTCTTTTATAATTCAACGGAGCAGAGGCTTTAAAAAAGTGCTTAAAATCCAAAATATTTTTCATTTTTGCATCTTTGATGTGATATTTAAAATAAAAATAGAAATGCTGAAAATCTACAAAATGATTGACCTGTTGTGAATTTCCAGCATTTTTATTTGAATTTGAATTTTCCATGTTTTTCTTTTTATATCTATAATAATACAATCTTTGCATTTCATGGAGCTCCTTCTCACATCTTTGAGTCGTCTCAAAGCATTTCACAAGATTTATTGTAGAGTGTAGTGACTTTATTTTTGTAGGCTAATGTGGCAGCCAATTTTTACACAATAAAATCCCACAAATAGCCATGAAGTGACTGACCAATTTTAATAATAATAATAATAATCCTTGCATTTGATATAGCACTTTTCACGTCAGGAGGACGTCCCAAAGCGCTTCACAGAACACACTGTAAACTGAATTGATTGTATATTTGTGGGAGCCAATTGCGGCAGCCAATTGCGCACAACAATGTCCCACAAACAGTCGTAGATTGAAAATGACCAATTTATTTTTGGTTTTGGAGGGATTATTATTAGGAGTGTGGAGTAAGGAAACTTGCCCAAGGTTTCGCCCTGACTGGAATTGAACTCGGGTATCTCGCTTGCATAGCGAGTGCTCTAACCACTGAGCTACAGGACTCCATTTTATCTGAAATATGTTGGCCAGGACCCTGAAGAAAATCCCTTCTCTTAACAAATAGTGCTATAGGATCTTTAATTACCACCAGAAAAGGAAGACGGTATTTTGGTTTAATATCTCATCCAAAGATTGACATTTCTGCCAATGCAATGATCCCCAGCACTGCACTGGAATATCTTAGGCTACTAGTCTCAATGTTCCGATGTGGAGCTTGAACCATCAAACTTCTGATTCAAGTGAAAGAGCCAGTAGCTGAGCCAGGCTGATACAATTACTGATCAGTAATCTAATTACTGCAATGTCACTTTAAGTGTTTCAGAACCCAGATACAATGAGAAAAGAGTACTTGTTTCTGATATGCATAGTCAATTATGTGGTAATGATGCTCATTTCATGTGATCTATAATAAATGTATTCAAGTTTACGTTTCATAGATAAATCTAATATGCTGTGAATCTATTCTCTGTAGGTATTACTGGTAATGTGCATTAAAGACTGAAGATAGCTGCTGATTAGAGTTAACACTTGAAAGTGGACATAGTACTCAAGTACCTTCGTATAAATGGCAGAGGAGGAAAGAAAGAAAACTGCAACTATGCAAATCAGACCTGGCCTGTATGTTTCTATGATCACTAATCAGAACATGAACTTGCTGATTCGAGGAGTGGTTCTATTTTCTATCGGTGTGTTCCTAGCACTTGTATTGAACTTACTGCAGATTCAAAGAAATGTTACACTTTTTCCTCCTGATGTGATTGCCAGCATTTTCTCTTCTGCCTGGTGGGTTCCACCATGCTGTGGTTCAGCTTCAGGTAAGTAACAAATTAATTTGTCTGTGTATGTGATATTGTACTGTAGGGAACAAATACATTTGCTAATAGTGAAAAGTGTATGGACAAAGCATTTTGCTTCACTGAATTCATTAGTTACTAAAATGCATTATCAGTAATTTGATACCATTATTACTCTGTTTTTTACCATTATGCCTAAGAAGGTGGTAAAAGCTAATATAATGGCTCCCTCTGTGAATACAGTAGTGCCCAATATTCGCTTATCTTCAACAGCGATTAAATCAAAAGGCTGGGTGAATCTTGCTGAGAATCTTGTTGGACTTCCTGCTCCTCTGTGAAGGGGAGAAATGTTATTTGTTGAAAGCCAAATGAGATGAAGAATAAAATAGAAGCTTGTTCCAGGTCAGAAATACTTTTGCTGAAATATTGTTATCAAAAGAGGAATAGAACTTCAGGGCAGGTTTACATGAGAGAGAATGGCCTAGCAAAGATAATACTGAAAGCCTGAAATTAAACAGAAATTGCCTCAACCCACACAGGTCAATCAGTATGTGAAACAAAAAAGTTGGGTTAATGATCCTTCTGTTTTTCTTATTTTTGTGTGTGACTCTGCTTTTGTTTGGATAGTGCTATTGAACTAAAATAACCCGAGGCCTTGGACAGTGTAAATTGTTATTTTAGGTCATATTAATCAATGCTGTTTTTCTTTTCCTGCAGCTGTGATTGGCTTGCTATACCCATGCATTGACAGCCGTCTGGGAGAACCACACAAATTCAAGAGGGAATGGTCCAGCGTAATGCGTTGTGTGGCAGTCTTTGTCGGCATAAACCATGCCAGTGCTGTATCCAATCATTAAATACACTTTTTCTGTTTTAAATAATTTCACAGGATGACCTGGCATTCATTGCTAACAAACTTATAACTGGTGTGTTAAAGAAGCTGAGCAAATTAGTGACTGAAGAGAATATAATTTAGGTCCTAAAAATAATTATCTAAAAATGATAATTAAAATGGAGCCACATAGAAAATTACAAATTGGTGTAATTCTTTATGGAATTTCTGTTATTGAAAACGAACAATATACAGGAAAAAAAGTTATTTTTTTGAAGGAAGCCTTCTTTACCTGTTATTGCATCTGTAGTTTGTCAGCTTTCTATGTGGCTCCATTTTAATTATTATTTTTAGGTAATTATTTTTAGGACCTAAATGATATTTGCTAGGGGAAATATATTTTAGGTTCATATGTTCTTAAGAACTGTAGACAGTTAAATGCTGTTATCTTTAAATTGAGACTATTCCTTAACAGGTTCCTCACAGAAGGTTGACTTTGCTAACAATACGCAGCTCTCCCTCACATTAGCAGCACTTTCCATTGGTCTCTGGTGGACATTTGATCGATCTCGAAGTGGCTTTGGGCTTGGAATAGGAATTGCCTTTATTGCCACTTTGGTCACCCAGCTCCTTGTCTACAATGGCGTTTACCAGTAAGTATGAAACAGAACATTTATTTTATTGAACCCATTTCAATTGCTAAAAGTTAAGTTTGGTTAAGGTTTAAAAAACAAATGCAAAGGCTGGAAATCTGAAATAAAACCAGAAAGCCTGAATCTTATCCTGTTTTCTTCAGGTGGTAATTGACCTTGTATGAATTTGAGGCAATTTCAGTTTTTATTTCAAATTTACTGAGATGTCTCAGTTCCTTCAGTTTTATGTGTGATTTGGAATAACACTGCATCCTGTAGTAGAGTTCGATGATTCTTGGTCTTGCATCCTGATAGATCTTCTCAACCCTTCAGCCTTTGAGGCTGATAAAATAAGTAAAAACATCCTCCTTATGGGACAGGGTTAACTATGATCTCACTAGTACTGAACTGGCTTTGAGAAGACATGCCTCACAAAGCCAGACAGGTAGGTATGCAGCAATCAAAAGACAGATTTGGAGATGTAGACATGTCCTCAGACATATAAAGCGAAGTCCTAAAGGAGTAGCTGGACAGTGGTATATTGTTACTACTATTTCTTTTGGATAAAAGTTTTTTCTACTGGTACAGGAATATGTAAGTTAGATATTAAAATACCTGGCCAAAAATGTTGCCAAGTGCAACATTTTTTTTCAGTGTGCTAACTGCTGCAAGAAAATAATCCAATCATCAATGTCGCCAGTATTTTTACACAACTGTCCTTACTTCCCCAAATCTGGTCCCTAACCAGGACTGCCTTCCTCCACCTCTGCCACATTGCCAGCCTCCGACTGTACCTTACCCCAGACGCAGCTGAAACATTCATCCATGCGTTCGTCACTTCCCGACTCAACTTCTCAAATGCCCTCTTTGCTGGTCTCCCCAGCTCCACCATGCACAGGATCCAGCTAATCCCAAACTCCACTGTCCGCATACTCACCTGTACTAAACTCTGCATCCCCAGGCTCCACTGGCTCCTTATTGCCAAATGGATCGATTTCAAGATCCTCACACTCGTTTTCAAATCCCTTCATGCCCTGGCACCTCCCTGCCTCTCTGAGTTGCTTACTCCCTTATCCACTGCCTCCAACCAACTGGCTGCAGCTTCCTGCATGCCCCTCGACCCTTTAGTTCCACCATCGGTGGCCGTGCTTTCAACCACTAGACCCCAAACTCTGGAACACTTCCTCTATCCCTCCACCAGGCCCCATCTTCAGGTTGCTCCTGAAGACCTTCCTCTTTGACTGTGCCTATGGTCACCACCCCCGGCTTGGCGTCATGTTCTACTACTGTCAAGAGCTCCGGGACGCTTCTCTGAAGCAGATTAGAACTAGCTGGATTCTGTTGTATACTTTGCTGGTGCAGACTTCTCTTGGTTTTGGGCACATCCCTATCATCATACAAACCAATTTAAAGCTCCTATTCCTGGTTTAACCTACAAACAACAACAACTACTACTTGGATTTATATAGCGCCCTCCACGCTGGACGGCGTCTCAGAGCGCTTCACAGTAACGGATCCCGGGGCCGAGCCAGGGGGAGGGGGAGGAAGGTGACCAAAGGCGTGGTCGAAGAGAAAGGTCTTTAGTAGGGACCTGAAAATAGGAAGAGAGGAAGCGAGTTGAAGGGAGTGAGGAAGGGAATTCCAGAGCCTCAGGGCATAATGGCTGAAGGCATGGCTGCCGAGGGTGGAGCGGGGGATGAGGAGGAAGCCAGACCCGCGGAACGAAGGCAACGGATACTGTTTTGAGGAGAGAGGAGGTCAGAGAGGTAGGGGGGTGCAGAGGAGTGGCGGGATTTGAATACAAGGGTGAGGATCTTGAAGTCGATCCTTTCTAGGACAGGCAGCCAGTGCAGTCTGGCAAGGACTGGGGTAATCAGGGAGCGGAGTTTGGTGTGGGTGAGAATGCGGGCGGCAGAGTTTTGAATGATTTCGATTTTGTGGATGGTAGTGGATGGGCGAACAGCGAGGAGGGTGTTAGAATAGTCCAGCCGAGAGGTGACAAAGGCATGGACTAGGGTTTCAGCGGCTTTCGGAGAGAGGTATTGGCGGAGACGGGTGATGTGTCAGAGCTGGAAGAAGGCGGTGCTGGTGAGGGACTGAATGTGGAGGAGGAAGGATATTTAGTGGTCGAACCTGACGCTGAGGTTGTGTACGGGTTCGGAGAGTTTTGGGGGGAGGTTGGGTAGGTGGAGGAGGTGAGAGCCATGAGATTTTAGACGTTGACGAGAGCCAAAGAGTATGCCTTCTGTCTTGTCAACGTTCAGCTGAAGGAAATTTGCTCTCATCCAGCCCATGAGGTCTGACAGGCAGGCTGACAGAACATCAGAGGACTGGGGGTCGCAAAGAGAGGTGGAAAAATAGAGTTGGGTGTCGTCCGCATACATGTGGAAATGTACCTCATGTCTGCAGTTGACATCCCCAATAGGGAGCATGTAGATCAGAAAGAGGAGGGGGCCAAGGATGGATCCTTGGGATACCCCGCAGGTAACCGAGTGAGAGCGGGAGGAGAAGCTGTTGTACGAGATGTACTGCTGGTGGTTTGTGAGGTAGGACTCGAACCAGGCGAGTGCAGTCCCACTGAGGTGGATGACGGAGGAAAGGCAGTGGAGGAGGATAGCGTGATCGACTGTGTTGAATGCGGCGGAAAGGTCCAGGAGGACAAGGAGACAGAGGGAGCCCTGGTCACAGATAGAGCGGATGTCGTTTGTGACTTTCACAAGTGCAGTCTCTGTACTGTGGGCAGGGCGGAAACCAGATTGGAGGGGTTCGAAGAGGGAGTGGGAAGAGAGGTGTGTGCGGAGTTGATTGGCAACAACTCGTTCTAGGACTTTTGCGAGGAAGGGCAGGTTAGAAATGGGGTGGTAGTGGCTGGGGTTTGAGGGATCTAGGGAAGGTTTTTTCAGGAGGGGTGTGATGACAGCAGTTTTGAGGGGGCCAGGGACTGATCCGGAGGAGAAGGACTGGTTGATGAGGTCAGCCAGTAGTGGGCAGAGGAGGGGGAGCTGGGTGACCAGCAAGTTGGTGGGGAGGGGGTCGAGGCAGCAGGTGGTGGGTTTCATGGAGGTGATGGTGGGTGAGAGGGAGGAGGAAGAGATGGGGAGGAAGGAATGTTGGATGGGGGTGGTGGTAGGAGCAGATGATGGGGAGGGTGAGGGGGACAGAGAGGGCATGGTGGTGGGTGACAATAGGCAGGTGGATGAGGCTGCCTAGCGGATGTTGTGAATTTTAGATGAAAAAAAGTCCATGACCTCCTCGCACTTGACAAAGCATCTATAATCCATGTCAAACATAGTTGACCTGCAGTGTGATCTGGTATGATAGAAGACTTGTAGTAGTTTTCAATGGAGGGAAATATATTAATAACCCTAATGGTCTGTTTTCCTGGGTAGGATACATTTTTGCTTCATTTTAAAATGTTGTAATTTTTAAATGTTGTAAATAGAGAATACTTTTATACGGAAAGTACTTCTGTGTTGTCCTCTTTCAAAACATACAGAATAACCAAATGATAAATAAATTTAGTTCAGTATTCAATCAGGAGCTCTGCTGACATTCACATGCTGCTCAAGCTTTGCTGTCACAATTTGTGGAATAATTCATATGAATCTATGAATCACTGCCTCAAACAGCTGCCAAAAATCCTCAATATATACCTATACATAATTTTGCAAAGGATTTTGAGGCTCTTTTGTTTCACGGGTGAGATTCTGAAGTATATCAGTGATCATTTTTCTTTTCATCATAAGTACTCCAGTCATTAACTGGTTTCTGTCCGGAACCTGATTATGAGAATGTTTGGGGGTCTTTTGTATGACTGTGTTTGATAAATAACAATGGTGCTGTCAAATGCCTTGAATGAATAATTAGCGAGATGGAAACAGGGATGTCTTTTTGATTGATTTCCTAGTTTTATGACTAAACTGTTGAAACTACCACATAGTAGATTTCTACAAAAACCTCATCTGGTTTGTCCAAACTAACATTTTAAATATTAATTTAGTATGTTTTCTTGATCTATTTTAGAATGGTAATGACTGAATATAGTTATACGATCTGGGGTGAGATTTTCAAACTAGTCTCAGAAATGCTTTCAAGCATTTGTTTTGCACTCCAGCTTCCTCCAAACTGTTCTAGAGTAACAGTTTAAAAAAAATGTCTTGGAAATGTGTGCACCAGTGTCAAAAAATTTGGGATTTGTTTTATGTATTTGCCTTTTGAAAGATTTTAAAATGTATTTATAACCACAATTGAGGATCTGTTGGTAGCCATCCATAATTGTAGAGTTTCCACAAAAGTACTTATTTGCTCCTCTCACCCCCTTCCCAAAAGGATATTGTAGTTTATTTCCACCCCTCCACTGTTCTTTGTGTTCTTGTGAAGATATGACTACCTTAGATTATTCCTTGGATTGCTGCCAATCACAAGGTTCGTTTTTAATCTGTGCAAAAGTACAATTTAAAAAGGCTTAGTTCTACATTTCCTTACTGTGGGGCATTGTAGCTTTGTCATCACAGGTACTTCTGATAGTCTAATTGCTTCATTATTTTCCTAATAATGAATAACAGAGCTTAGAAGCTTTGAAGTTTTGTTACAGCAGAAGAGTGCAACTTCAAAGCTCTGGCTGCCACTTTCAATCAAAATTCTGCCCACTGGAAAAGGAGGGCAGAGGTTACTGGCCCACAAGCTCTGTTATAAAAAGTATTATATTAATTTTCTTAAAATTCTTAACTTTTCAAACCAAAAATCTGTATGGAAAATAATTCATTCTTAGGTTTAGATGAAAAATGAAAATGTAATATAAATTATTTGACCTGAGGCCAGTTTTAGTTTTTTCATTGACTGTTCTGTATAGTCTTTTATACATTTGAAATGACAACACTAAGGTAGCAATTATTTGTAAGGATCAGTGTAAAAATAATGCTTGCATTTGAAATGCTGCTGTGTAACTTTGAAATGTCTCAAGACATTTCACAGAGAATTTATTTAAAGTTTAGTGACCATAGTAGGGGAGTGCAGCAACCAATTTGCGCAAAGCTATGTCCCAGAAACACTAAAAATAAATGACCGGAAGAAACACAATTTATCTTGTGGACAAAGTTATTTATTTAAGGCTGTTACGTTAATTTATATCATGAATATATTCATACTGTTAGCAAGATTGAGAAAGATGTTTTAATGCCTAAAATACAGTCACTATATTTCACAGTAAAATCAAAAACCTGCAACCGCTCTGTATTGGCCTGAACTAATGGTGCAATAGAGTGCATTTGGGTGTCTATTCTGTCCATTGTTCTTTCGGGGGGATCAATTGTAGGGTGGATGGTCTTTTTGTCTTATCTTGAGAATTCACTTACTGCCAGATAAATCAAATTTGTTGAAGCATCCATTCCTTATTTTTCCTTTTTCTTTTGGCAATTTTCTCCCCTCCTCTCCTGAGGCATTTGGCTTCTATTGAGTCACTGGCGCTAATTACCTTCCAGTATCTCATACAAATGGCCATTATTCATATGTGAGCCTTGACAGTGAGTGTCAACAGGTGATCTTGAGGAACATATATGAACAACTTCCATCAGTGGTCTCTGAACAATAATTTGGAGCAGGAATCCAGTCCGTGTTTTCCTCCCCTCTAATCCGAAGGGTTAAGGCCAGTTGTTCTGTCCAAACTGCTGCGTCAGCTGAAATTAGCTAACTCAACACAGACTAACTTGCAACCTTATCGCCTGGGCCAATAGAAAAGTGTGGAAATATTTGCCCAAAGTTGCAGGGAGATTGAACATTTTGTGGGAAAATGCAGGGGATTGAAAACGTTTGCAGAAAATGGCAGGGAGTTGGTACATCTTGCTGCCAACCTACATTTTTTCACTTTATTGATAAAACTAAACATGAGGAAATAACACATCTTATTAGATTTAGAAAAATATATAAATTGCTTCTTTAACAAAATCTGTGTGGGGCGGGAGGGGGGACATCAGCGAGGCTACAGGAGCTCTTAGGGCCAGCATCGCACCCAGACACAGAGGAAGACACGCACACAGACATCGAGGAAGACACGCACACAGACACCGAGGAAGACACGCACACAGACACCGAGGAAGACACGCACACAGACACCGAGGAAGACACGCACACAGACACCGAGGAAGACACGCACACAGACACCGAGGAAGACACGCACACAGACACCGAGGAAGACACGCACACAGACACCGAGGAAGACACGCACACAGACACCGAGGAAGACACGCACACAGATACCGAGGAAGACACACGCACACAGACACCGAGGAAGACACGCACACAGACACAGAGGAAGACACGCACACAGACACAGAGGAAGACACACGCACACAGACACAGAGGAAGACACACGCACACAGACACAGAGGAAGACACACGCACACAGACACAGGAAGGCACACGCACACAGACACAGGAAGGCACACAGACACAGAGAGACACAGGCTTACAGACACAGAGAGACACAGGCTTACAGACAACAACAAGATTTCATTTATAGAGCGCCTTTCACGTCGGGAGGACGTCCCAAGGCGCTGGACAGTTGGGTCAGGACCCGAGCAGGGGGGAAATGGTTAGGGTGAGGGGAGGGAAGGGAGGGAGCGAGGAGGGGGTAGAGAGTCGAGAGGGGAGCTGAAGGCTCGGTCAAAGAGAAGGTCTTGAGACCGGCTTTGAAGGAGGAAAGGGAGGAAGCGGCAAAGGCACTGGGGGATGGAGTTCCAGAGCCTCGGGGCTGAGAGGCTGAAGGCCCGACCACCGATGGTAGGGCGGTTGGGGCGGGGGATGTGGAGCAGACCGGAGCCAGAGGAACGGAGGGTACGGGCAGGTATGTAAGGGTATAGTAGGTCGGAGCGGTAGGAGGGAGCGAGGCCGTGAATGGCCTCGTAGGTGAGGATGAGGATCTTGAATTCGATCCTCTGGGGGATGGGGAGCCAGTGGAGGCGAGCGAGGGTGGGAGTGATGTGGTCGCGAAGCCCGGTGCGGGACAGTACACGAGCTGCAGAGTTCTGAATGACCTGCAGCTTGTGGAGGGAGGTGGCGGGAAGGCCGATGAGGAGAGAGTTCCCATAGTCCAGCCTTGAGGTGATAAAGGCGTGTACCAGAGTTTCAGCCGCGTGAGGGGTGAGGTAGTGCCGTAGTCTGGCGATGTTTCGGAGGTGATGGAAGGCGGTGCCAGTTGTGGCGCGGATATGAGGAAGAAAGGACAGCTCAGGGTCGAACAGAACGCCGAGGTTCCTGACTGCTTTGAGAGGGGGAGAGTGCAGCCTTGGATGCTGATTCTGTCAGCGCCTGAGGTGCGGAGGCGCTGACGCGAGCCAATCAGGAGGGCCTCATAGAGAGATAGCGAGACACAGGCTTACAGACACAGAGAGACAGACCCAGGTTTACAGACACAGAGAGACACAGGCTTACAGACACAGAGAGACAGACACAGGCTTACAGACATAGAGAGACAGACACAGGCTTACAGACACAGAGAGACAGACACAGGCTTACAGACACAGAGAGAGTCACAGGTTTACAGACATAGAGAGAGACACATGCTTACAGACATAGAGACGCTTACAGACATAGAGACACACACTTAGACACAGCGAGAGACACACTTACAGACACAGAGAGAGACACACTTACAGACACAGAGAGAGACACACTTACAGACACAGAGAGAGATACACACACTCAGACAAAGAGAGAGAGACACACAGACACAAAGACACAGAGAGATACATACATACAGAGAGACTCCCACTCACAGACACAGAGAGAGACACATTCTCAGAGAGAGACGCACACTCACATAGAGACACTCACAAACACATAGACACACACGGCACACTCACAAACACATATAGGAGAGGGTAACACAGACATTCACAAACCGAGAGAGAGACACACACAGACACTCACAAATGCATCTAGAGAGACATACACACACACTCACATATACAAGCGCACAGAGTTTCACAACAGCGGAGCCTCCAAATGAAGCCCATTTGCAGCTTGCGCTGCACCGCGCATGCATGTCCAGATCCGCCCCGGCACAGTGACGTCAGGTAAAACAGCCATGGGCCAGAAACTACGTTTGTAGTGGATTCCGTGGGAAAAGTGCGGCCACACCTTTCTATTGGCCCAGCTTATTGCCTACATAGTTTAGTGAGTACAGCAAGTACCATGAAACTTGAAAATTGCTGCAGCAGTGCTCTTTTGATGTGAACAGAGCTGAGCTTTGAGTACTCAGTTAGCTTTCCAATTTTTTTTTATGCTAATACCGTTTCATTATGTAGACAAGTTTAGAGTTTCTGTCGCTTATATGTGTCTTCCATTTTCCCATCTACATAGGTTTTTAACGTGTTTTGTTTTTCAAATTGTTTTCTGTAATAATAATCCTTGCATTTGATATAGCGCTTTTCACGTCTTCTAGACGTCTCAAAGCACTTCACAGAATATACTGTAAAGTGAATTGACTGTATATTTGTGGGCGAAACGCGGCAGCCAATTGCGCACAGCAGTGTCCCACAAACAGTCATGGATTGAAGTGATCAAAGTATTATTTGTTTTTCTTGAGGGATTATTATCAGGCGTGTGGAGTAAGGAAACTTGCCCAAGGTTTCACCCTGCTGGGAATCAAGCCAAGTCTCTCACTTGCAAGTCGAGTGCTCTAACCACTGAGCTACAGGACTCAACTATTGTTTACGATTAATATTTTTATAATATGTACAGTACACTGCTGTTTTAGTAGCTTTTTTCTTATATTTTTCAGCACCTGTGTGTGAGCTGAAAACAAACAAATGGTTAACCCAGAGATAGAATAATTTTAAGAGTTAATTAACCCAGTTTACTTCCCTGAAGTTTTACTTTACTGATTCTAAAAGTATTGTTTTTATATTTTTCAGATATACATCTCCAGACTTCCTTTATGTTCGGTCTTGGTTACCTTGTATATTTTTTGCTGGTGGAATAACAATGGGAAATATAGGCCGCCAATTAGCAATGGTAAGATGATAGACATAAGGAATATAAGAAGGCAAGGAGTGAGAAGAGCTCATTTGACCAATCATGGTTGTTCCTTTTCCAGTCTACACATAATTTATTGTGGGTCTCATCTTACCTATTTGATCATCTGAGATCAAAAATCCTGCATGCTTTCCATTACCTAAATGTTTTCTTGGAGAATGTCAGAATTTTCAATCATATCCACATTTCCATTGTTCATTGTGATCTGCTGCCTCTCCCAAGACATATGTAGACAACATTCTCTATAAAGCATAGTATCAACACATTCTATAAGTAACAATTAATGATGCAAGCAGTAGGGGGACCCAGAGTTGATTGTTACAGAACTCTTTATCAGCTAACTGACTCTTTCTCCCAGAACCACATTCTGTTTCCTATTGTAGAGCCAGTTTTCACTTCAGTTTAGCTAATTTTCGACTAAAAGACTATTGTCTTTTGTTTTAAATACAATGTTAACGGAAGCATCATCCACTGCAGACGTTAGAATAACTAGTCTGTAATTTCCAAGTTCTTGTCTTATTCAATATTTACTTTAGGATCTAAGGTACAACCCATCTGGCCAAGTCATGTTGTATCCATTTGAGTTTCTTTATAACACTTGTTTTACTGATGTCTGCTTTCGTTCTGGATCCATGAGCCAAAATGTCTGCATTTTGACCACTTTCATAAATTGCAAAAAGTGATGTGAAGAATCTATTTAACATACCTGACATTTCCTGATTCCCTGTAGTCTCTGTTCCCAATTTATCCCTTGAAGGATCAATTTGTTCTTTCAGATGCCATCTATTACAAACAGCTTAAAAAACTTATTCGGATCTTTTGTGATTGTCTGCCATCTGCCCTTCTATAGCCGTTTACCTCTTCTATTAATCATTTTTGCTATCCTCAACCGACGATCAGGACTATTTGGACCACTATTATTTGTTTACTAGTATTTGCAAAATAATTGTTTATCATATTTAAGTACATTTTGACCTATTTAACTATTTTGACTTGTTGTATCTCATATTCCCTAAAATGGTCTTTAAAAATTCAATTTTCTACTGTTTTACTTGCTCTCCAAAAGTTGTATTCCTTCAATAGGTGATTTCAGTCTTGGCCTTGAATGTAGTATTAAATCTAACTGCAATAATCACTGGTGTTCGCCCATCTACTGGTTACTAATCAATTTTTGTTAAATGCTAAATCTAATATAGCATCTACTCCACTACTGTTTTTCATGCCAATGATTACCAATGTGACGTTGCTCGTGTCTTCTACATTTCTCTCCAACAACTTTACTTCTAGGACATTGATATTCCCTTTGATAATCACATTCTGATTTCTTGCAGTCTTTTATACTTGTCTAAACTACTTTCTGTCTACTTGTTCAGTTAAACTGGTAGTCAATAGCTACTATTTTGTTGCCATTATTGTTGCTAATTTCTACCAGATTGTTTCTGCCATCCCCCTACTGCCTTTTTACCTGCTGTTTCAAATTTTTTGCTTTATTTGGTAACATAAAAATGTATTCTCAACAACCTCCTCACCATAGCATTTCCCCGGGTAGCGAAACACTTGTTTGTCAAAATCTGGTATTAGGCATTACTTGTCCTAAAGCGTTGCAACACTACAGCTATCTCTTCACTCAAGCCCGATCATTCATCTGTTGCCAGAAGGCATCTGGTTGACAACCTGTTTTTTTAAGAGGCAAAGACTGTTGAATTAGGGATCCTCACTGGTAATAGTAGATATACTTTTGGTGGCCTGGAAATCATCCACATAGTGTATAGTTTGAAGTGGAAAATTGTTCAGTGGTCCTTTGTTATGAACTTCTAAGGCAAAGGAGATTTTACTTCCATTTTAATCATTCAAGGAATTGCATATGTGATTGCTGTTTGTGATATATGGGTGAGAAGTACACATGAAGCCTTATTATTCCACAATGTATTTTTTTGAAAGAAATCTCTAGAATACCTGTATCTACCACCTACTTTGCCTTCATTCATATCAGCTGAGTGACAAATATAACAGTGAGCCTATTCTACCTCTCATTGCTATTAGACATAGACTATGACAGACTATGAAACCTGATTTGAAAGTTCTCTGAGAGAGGAAATCTCTAAATCTTAGTCTGGAGAGTACAGGCATTGTCTGGTTTATGACTAAGCTATCTATACAGGGTAAAATATTGAATGTACTGATTCCAGTTGATTTCAGTAATGCGAATACCACCATTGGCCTTGGTTCTCCTTGGCCAGAGAGGAACAAAATCAGACAAGATTCTTATTTAGTGATGTCTCCTGCAAAGTGTGCGTGAAAATTCCCATCCAGTTGTAGCCTGTGAGACCATTTTATCTGAAAATGGGAAATCATGCAGAATTGTTTGTATAGTTAGTCCATGACAAAATGGAATTTTGGGTCTGCTGACGAGAAGAGAATCAGGCTTGGCTGTGGTACCCGCAGAGCCTTGCTTCACATATGATGGATTGCTAATTGGGCAAAGGTACCACAACAATCGGCACCAAGAGGAAAGGGGAGAAAATTGACAAAAAGTATGAGTGCCAACAAGAGAGCTTTTAATTCTTAATATCCTTTTTCCCATCTAACAATTCATTTCATTTTAAATTATGAAGTAATTAACTTAATCTATACAGATTTAATATTTATAATTAGACATTTTGAATGTATTAAAATCGATGAATCAATCTCATATAATCTTTGTTTTGATTACAGTATGAATGCAAAGTTATTCCAGAGAAACCCCATCAAGACTGAAGTAATATGGAGGAAATTTTAAAAGGTTTTAAATGGACAATTGGATATTAAAGATATGCCAAATGAATGTACAAAACTAAGGATTCTCAACATGAAATTGCAGAAACTGCAATTTTGTTTTGCTCTCCTATGCAAAATGCAATCTGTGATTGCTAATGGTAAAAAGAGGTTTTATGAGAACATTATTGTGTAGATAATGTACACACAAACCCGTACCTCTATGTGTAACTGGATTCAAGTTTTAATACTTTGAGAATATGCAGTAAAAATGATTAGGAAAGTTTCGGAATATATTCATGGGGTGTGTGGTGCCAAACAAGATAGGTACTTTTGCTATTAGTTTTAATCTAGATGAACAAAAGGTTCAGATTATACTTCTTTAAGTTTGAGACACAGGACACTGACCTGTAACTATTCAGTTGGGTTGTTTTTAAAATGTTATGTGGACGCTGTACTATGTTCTCAAAAAATAAGTGAGTCAATGTTTTGGGTCCAAGATCCTTTGTCATAACGGACGAAGAACAGGCGGACTGATTTTGTCTGTCTCTGGCCTAGGAGAATGAAGGCCAGTTCTGACGAAGGGTTGTGGACCTGAAATGTTGACTCACTTTCCTTTCTCCATAGTTGCTGCCTGACCTGCTGAGTGTTCCCAGCGACTTCTGTTTTTGTTTCAGATTTCCAGCATCTGCAGTATTTTGTGTTTTGTTTCTCAGAAAATAACCTAGTTTGCACTTTTTTCATATAGTTTACAATATCTAACTAGGCATTGAGTTGTGCTATTTGTGCAAAGTTAGTATTCTGGATTTGGAAAAAGTTATTCTATTCTTATTCCTTTGCCTTAAAGCAAATAAAAAATCCTATTCCATTGCCTTAAAGCAAATATAAAATCTTAGTTTGTCTCATCCACATTTAAAAAGGTTCTTTCCATAGCTGTGCAATTTGGGGATAAACATAGTTATAGATGCATGAAATAGCTTTTACAAATCTATAAAAATCTTCACAAATATTTAAAGTTGTTGAAGCAGTTTGTTCTCTACTGATATTTCAAAACATTGTAAAGCCTAAGATTAACTGTTGGAGAAGAACATTGCACATCTTCTTCAGTATATATGAAATTAATCTCTGCTTTCGAAATTGAAAGATGTATCTCTTTGACCTTGCCTTTGGGCATCTCCTAAATTTTGTGCAATTTTTTGTGCTTTTTCTATTCCCATTATTCTGTGCTTAGATTTTTTTAATGCAAATTGTTGTTGTGGTAATCTAATAATCACAAATACAGTATGTTTGTTGTGACAATTTCACCAATATTAAAGGGTATCTTTTTCTTCAAAGTACTCCCACTTAAAGGAAAACCAATACCATTCTAAAGTAGTAATATTATTCCATAACAAGAAATGGCATTAGCAATTCTACCTTAAAGGTGAAGATTCCTCCTGCACTTGGCTGGTCTGGTGACTCATGGTATGGGAGGAGCCAGATTGATTCCATTGAGAGGCTGGAACTTTGGACTATCGTGGAAGCTGTTTCAACACCGCTTGATGCTGGGAAAGTTTAGTACTGGCTACATATTGTATATTTACTGGCTCTAAACAAATTACCTCTCTTACTCTTACTCTGGGATGGAACCACTCTGGAGTCACGCATTGCAGGTGCAGATAGTGTTAGTAAGGATTCCTCATTACAATAAAAGGTATTAATCAATGTTTCTCTATTTTTAGAATGAATACTTTGAAAGAAAAAAATTTCTTCCAAACTTTAGAATTGAATTAAAATCTAAGTTAACACGACCACATTAAACAAAATAATTTTTTTATTATTTATCAAGATTTTTTTCCCCCCAATACACTTCTACCCTTTTCCAAACATCCAGATAGATGTTTTTGGGGTGAAGTAATTTGACCTTTTGAATATTTTAAACCAATTATTACTTTGTCGATTATGTAAATATGTGTTTTGTTTAGTATAACTGTTCCTTCTTTGACAAACCAACATATTTTAATGTTTTGTGGAAACATTCTTCTAGTCACGCAGGACAAACCTCAAAGCCTTAATAGTAATTGGCAATTATTTCAGATTGAAGTCTAATAGCAAAATTCAAATGGAAGTGAGGTAGAAGTTCTATAAAATAACTTGGCTAGGAGAGTTGCACGCTGTTAACTTTTTTTCTTCAAGTGGTATTCCACAAAATAAAGGTAGTAATTTGGATATTACTTGGTTATATATATATATATATACACACACACACCAAATAATCACTTTGTGGCAATTTTTAAAAATTTAAACACAACCTAAATGTTACTCAATGGATTTCTGGATAGCAGTCATCTACACACATACGTTGAATCCAATGCAGCATTTTTCATACTTTAAGATTAAGTAATTGGCTGACAGAGACATTCAATATTTCTCCCATGCTGTTTAAGGTTTTCATCTCCCAAAGTAATGTTGCTTTTAACAACAATCTGTCCAATGTCCAAACGTTCTGCTAAAATCATTGTGATCCGTAACTTACATTGATACCTGAAAGTTTTTTTCCCCTTTAATTTAGGGAGAATAAATGTTAAAGCATTTCATATTTTTTCCCCTTTGAGTGGGATAATAAATATCAAATGCTTAAATATGTGGTAGTCAGTTTTTATTATAAGCAAATCTTGCTTTTACAGTACAAGTTTGTTTTCGGGTTTTATTTTCATTTACTGATATGGGAAATCAGCAACTACACTTAGCAGTGTAAAATATCAGAGTGGCTATGCAAATAGTGAGGGAATCTGTGTGATATTTAAAAGTAATGTAATTTTTCATGCAATAAAAATTTATACTGTTATAAGTGCAGAGATTGTTTTCTTTTGTGAAACGTGTTTCACGGTGGGGCACCAGCTTTATTAATAATATGGTGCTTAGTTGATCTATCTGATTTTAAAAAAAAGGGCAGAAATGAGACTTCAATCCCTTGTGTTTACTAATGGGATGTTTGGTGCGGAAACTGAAAAAAAAACTGCCTGGTGCTGTGGGCATAGACAGATGAAGTCTTATGAACATTATTGGGGCAGAATAAAGGTTTGTAGACTACAGATGCAATACATGGAATTCACCAGAATGATACCAGGGTGAAAAGGGTTAAATTACGAGGGCAAGTTGCATAAATGTGCTCTCTATCCCCTTGGGTTTAGAAAGCTTAGGGGTGATCTGATTGAGATTTTTAAAATAATAAAGGGATTTGGTAGGGTAGATACAGAGAAACTACTTCCTCTGGTAGGGGAATCTAGAACAAGGGGCCATAATCTTAAAATTGGAGCTAGGCAAGGGAGATTGGAGAAATTAGGAGTGAAATTATGAGGCAGTTTTTCACCCAAAGGGTAGTGGAAATCTGGAACTCTCCCCAAAGACTGCGAATGCTGGATCCATTCACATCTTCAAGATTGAGGTGGATAGATATTTGTTAGGTCAGGATGATAAGGTATTCGGGGCAAAGGTGGGTAATTGGACTTGAGGTACAGATCAGCCAGGGTCTTACAGAATGGCAGAACGTGCTCGAGGGGCTGAATGGCCTACTCCTGTTTCTATGCAAGTTTTTAGATGCAACAACAGCAGCAACAACTTGCACTTATATAAGCACCCTCCACATAGGGTAGAGTCTCAGGGCGCTTAACAGTGGGGGAGCCTGACTCCGAGCTGGTGGCCGTAAGCATGGTCGAGCAGGAAAGTTTTTCAGGCAGCATTTGAAAGATGGGAGTGGGGGCAAGGCGGAGGAAATTGAGGGAGCTTTCCAGAGTTTTGGGGCGAGTGGCTGAAAACATGACCTCCGATGGTGGGGCAGAGGGTGTGAGCGACGAGCAGGAGGTTGGTGCCAGTCGAGCGGAGGCGCTGGGTGATGGAGTGGGGAGTGAGGAGGTCGAAGAGGTAGGGAGGTGCCAGGGAATGAATGGATTTGAAACATTTTACAACCTGAATGTACAAAGAGAGTGTACCAGGCTGATGGTTAATTTGAGTTGAAAAATTCTAACCTTTTCCTTTCTCCAAAATAGATTCTATTTCCATCAATTTATGTTCACTTCTCATGAAGATTTTGCAATGTGGTTTTCCTTCATCGGGGGGGACGATTCCACGGTTGCTGATTTTGCCCAGATGGCCATTATTCATGTGTGAGCATCGTCAATGTTGGAAGGATTTTCAACTCTGAGAGGCATCAAAATCAAACCCAATCCTGTCCATCTGACATCCACACTTTCTGGCAGGGGGTCGAAACCCAGGAAGCTGAGGCCAATTTTAGCTCCCCCAACTGCTGACTAGGTCGAAATCAGCAAATTCAGTACATAGTAGTTTTGAACCTGTGAATTTATGATCTGTATGATATAATATATTGGTCCACTAAACCATTGGTTTAAATAGATTTAATGAACTAGTTAACCTAAATAGAAACGTTCTCTTGGAAGAGAAAAATGTATTTAATTATGTACCAGTTTGCAAACATTAATAATTTCAGGAATTACATTATTCATATATCACTGGAGTATATTTAACCAACCTTTTGTTTCCTCAAGTTTGTTTTATGAATAAGACTTAAAGTGTTGGGTAGGACCAGTCCTTTGGATTACAGATAGCATGTGAATAATACAGTTGGCTCTGAACTAAATTAGATAATTCATTTCTGTAAGGCAATCTTGCAGAAAAAGACGCAAATCAATAAATACCATTAACATCCCTGCAACAGCTATTTAGCAATAGATCCCAGCATTGACATTTAGTTTTTCTAGCTGATATCAAAAAGATTTCCTTCATGGAAGTATAATTGTATTTCAGGTTATTAAAAATTCTGGATAATTGGTGCTTTGTAGTTTGGTTCATACAGCTGATCTAGTTATGATGATAAATTCTGATAATTAATTCAATTACTTTTTACACTTCATACCTTGACTCCAAAGACGTGTGAATGATATATTCATTTGTCTCAGTAAGTCCAGAAGAAATCAGGTTTTGGTTAGCCACAAACCATTACGGACAGTTGAAAGTTGCGCCGTGTAAGCAATGTTTTTTTTGGTCAGCTGGATGTCTGACACATGCAGAAACCCATTACGATGCTTAATAGTATCTAAATCAAACTGAGATTTCCATGCATCTCACCTACACATGGAAATCCCAGAGATGGATTGTTTGAATGGAATTCGGTCTCTCCATGAAGGGACGCATTCAGGCTTACCTAATTCCGGAAAGTATAAGGTGCAGGTTGGCACGAGCCAAGGCTTGGGACCCGAAAGTGTGTGTTGGGGTATCTGCTGGAGGCTAACCAACTAAAACCGCATAGCTTGCCATTCATATTGCTGTCTGGCAAGCCTTCCCACTGCTTGTCCAGCTAGGACCATTAGGGCTTTGGCTTGACTTGCAGGGTTGACAGGAGCTGAGTGGGATGACTCCCTGCCCCCAATGACTAGTCTGCCCTTCCAGATCCTGCCGATGAGCCTGTGCTGTCATCAGCAACGCCCTGCAATACTGCGGACCTGCCTAGCTCAGGAACCAGACTACCGAGAACGCCACAGAGGGCTGGCTCGATTCCGACATTCTGTTGCCAGACATGTAACCTTGGAGCCAGTTCAACTCCAACGAAACCCCGTTTACCTCCCTCTACCCCTCCCACAGCAGGATAGGGGTAAGCAATGTACATCAGTAAAAGTGTCAAATCATTAATATTCAGATACAAACTGCTCCATTTTTAAAAGAAAGGAACAATGTTTGGTTCTTAGTTGCCCTCCACCACAAATCAGATATTATTTGTATTAAAAGGACTGTAAAGATTACTTGCGATTAAATAATATATAGGATATAATAATCCTTGCATTTGATATAGCGGCTTATGTCATCTTCGAGAGTCTCAAAGCGCTTCACAGAATATACTGTAAAGTGAATCGACTATATTTTGTGAGCTAACATAAATCTATAATGTGGAGTCCTGTAGCTCAGTGGTTAGAGCACTCGCTTTGCAAGTGAGAGACCTGAGTTCAATTCCAGTCAGGGCGAAACCTTGGGCAAGTTTCCTTACTCCACACAGAGCCTAATAATAATCCCTCCAAAAAACCAAAACAATAATAAAAATTGGTCATTTTCAATCCACGACTGTTTGTGGGACATTGCTATGCGCAATTGGCTGCCGCTTTCGCCCACAAATATACAGTCAATTCACTTTACAGTATATTCTGTAAAGCGCTTTGGGACGTCTAGAAGACATGAAAAGCGCTATATCAAATGCAAGGACTATTATTATTATAAAGCATATAATATACTCCATAGCATATTAGATACAGGTTGTCTGACAGTAGATAACCAGGCAGGTTGAGTTCCAGCATTGAAGGGAAAAAAAATTACTGCCCCTATTTCTTTCCATGTTTGCTGGTTTACAGCTGTGGTGTAAGATCTCACAGGATCACAGGGTGTGCTGCTGGTTTTCTTAAGTTACTGGATGAATGTGGATGGTGAATTACAAAAGATTTCCCGGTATATTGAAACTTCAAGGGTATTGACTGAACTATAGTTATATAAGTTGCCTTTTTGTAAGACTGTTTTTAGGATCTACTTAAGCACATTGAAGGTATTAGATGTTTTTTATTATTAAGAGTGGGGTGTGTTTTAACAGAATGTGGTAATTTCAAGTGCTACACATTTAAATTTATCTTCATTTGCTTTATTCCACATTAAAAGCTGGCAAATTTATTTAAATGTATTTCATTACTTATACCAGCTATCTTCACATGAAAGAATATGTTTTTAAATGAAAGCATCAGCTATGGATTCAGAGACTCTGGGCAATGTTTTAAAATGTACTTTAAAATGTGGAAACCTCAGAAATCTGACACAAAAAAATCTTCAGTGGGATAGATTTATTGTGCTCATTAAGATGGGGAATGAAAGTTCTAGAAAATTGAACTTTCTCTGATTTTTATTTCTATCTGGTGGCAACAGCAGATATAGGAAGGTCTGGGCTCCATCTAACAATCCATTGCAAGCATTACCACAGACTGCTTGGCTTGGTATTTCCATTTATTGCTTTTTACTGCCTCTGCTAATTTGGGGGAGGTTTCATGCTGAGCACAAGTTCCCACTGGGAACTGGGTGGAGAATGATAAAACACATTTCACTTAGAACCCTTAACAACCTTCAGACAGAAAAGACCTTCATCCCTAATGTGGAATTAACTTGGATCTCCAGGGGAGAAAGGACATAATAAACAATTATGGCCATTTTGAAGACATGACAAAATGATTAATACAGACCAGATTCCACAAAACATGCTTGTTTTAATATGTGCAAGAGGAGACAATGCTGCTGTTTGATAGCATTCTACCAATTTTATTATATCACACTAGACCAGGAAGCTAAACATTGCTATTTAATAATTTCATGGCTTAACTGCAAAGCATTTTAACGTGCTCACAATTTGCATGAATACAGTTGTGCAGCTCTTAATTTGGGTGCAAGACACTGGTACATAGTGATAAGCAGGAAACTCAACATGCACCCAGTTTAAAAAAAGGGTTAAACATAATGTTTGTATATAAAAAGGAAGGCAGATTTACATACAGTTCTTCACACTGTCTGCATATGTCATGCTGTGAGTAGTTACAGAAGCATGTTTGTCCTATCTTTACAAAATTTTCACAGTCTGTAGGACACAAAATTTCTATAAGTGACTTATTGGAATAGGACAGGGTTTGTAAAATCGTTTCTTTCATATGAACTGTGAAGAAATGTTCTGCTAAATGAAATCAGGAAGGAACGAGACAGAATCTTGTTTAATGACATGACAAAATGAATCACAACTATTCCAGACATCCA